CCTAACCCTAACCCTAACCCTTAACCCTTAACCTAACCCTAACCCTAACCCTTAACCCTTAACCTAACCCTAAACCTAACCCTTACCTTAACTTGAATCGGCTTGCTTTCAAAGCGCTATTTAAAGCGCCCTTCTTTCTCCGCGCTCACTGTTGTCGCCCTGTTGATGACGTCAGCGACACGGTTTCATCGGGCGCCCTTTAGTCGAGCACGGTTTCGTCGGGCACGGGGTAGGGTAGGGTATGAACTTAATTACAATGTGAGGCAGCTTTCTTTATTTTCTTTGTGACACTGCCAAAGTTTAAATATAGGTCTTCATACATATAAAATATATAGGACTAAATTAGCATCTATTAAGTGGCTAAAATCCCAAGGTAAACGTTCTCAGAAACATTTGCCAATCAGAGTATTGCTCCTTTTATGCATTTAAAATGATTTGCTGAAACTTGACAGCGTAAGATGATTTGAATTGATTCTCTTGAGATTGCAAGAGATTTTGTGATATTTTAATTTAATCTTCAAACTCTGCTGTTTATGCATTTGACTGGAAAAGCAGGACACTGAAGAAAATATATCTAGGAATGTTTCAGTTAATGAAAGAATAGCAGAACAGCCAACTGACCATCCAGATAGCCATTTCCACAGGGATCACTGTACTTGTTATCAGTAGACAGCAGGCACAGTGCTCCTTTCCATGGGTCAGACTATTGATCCCCTTGATCATTCAGATCGCACTAGATGATCTGCTGAAGGGGATCCCATCATGTACTTTCCTGTTGTGACAGTATAAGAAGCCTACCAGTCTGAATCCATTTATTTTGAAAAGGCATACTGATGCAGGGTAACTGGGCTATATTACTATAGGGCAGGGATGTCAAACTATTTCATTGAGGGCCACTTCAGGGTTGTGTTCGACCTCGTAGGGGTAGGGGGTGTGGCTGTGGGGGACTGGCCATGGGGGGCATGCCTGTGGGAGCGTGACACAGGATTCGTGTCGGGCACCTGTGATGGCCAAGTGCTAAGGCAGAACTATAATCTTCCTTTTCTTCTTTTTCCTTCCCTCTATATTCTCTTTTTTTATTCCTTCTCCTCTTTCTTTTCATGCTCTCTTTCCTTCTTTATCTTTGTCTTTCCTCTTTCTTCTTTCCTGTCCCTTCTTGCATGCTCAAATGCTCAAAAACAAAATCCTTTTGTTTTTAGTTTGTTTTGATAGCCCTTGGCCAGCTAAAACAGCCCGGTGGGGGAGCATGCGCAGCAGGGGTGGGTTTCTCGCCCCGTTCCAACCAGTTCGGTTGGAACGGGGCCAGCAGCATCCTCGTGCACGCGCGCGGTGCACGCATACGTACTAGCGTCTGCGCGATGCTCCAGCTGCTCCTGGACGATCGCGCAGGCGCTGTATGCGTCCTGCGCATGC